AGAAGAAGAAGAAGAAGAAGAAGAAGAAGAAGAAGAAGAAGAAGAAGAAGAAGTCGGCAGTGGAATAAAGCTGTACTTAAACATACATATTATAAAAGGAAACATCAACCTTTACATCAGTAAACAATCTTTTATTCTCTCCCACTAGACTGTAGACTTGCAGCAGACCCCGGACCCTGCAGGGCTGCCTTCCCCAGATACTACTACAGCCACAAGGACCGGTCATGTCAGCCATTTACTTACGGAGGGTGTAGCGGTAATGAGAACAACTTCTCCACTGAGTCTGAGTGTCAAGCAGCATGCGTGTGCACTCAAGGGTCAAGAAGAATCCGCCGAATCAGCTGTCCGAAACGATACTATTTCTTCAACGTTCGAAACGGCAAGTGCAAACGTTACCGCCGCCGACGAGGCCGAAGAGGCTGTACCAGAAAAGCAAATCGTTTCGAGAGCGTCGAGGAGTGCAGTTCGGTGTGTGCGACGTCGCACTGCTACTTGAGGCCGAGCAGAGGACCTTGCAGAGCTCTCAAGAGGCGCTTCTTCTACAACGTTGCCAGCGGCCAGTGCGAGAGCTTTAACTATGGAGGGTGCGGAGGAAACCGAAACAACTTCGGGTCAATGGAGGAATGTGATCAAGACTGCACCACACCCATTCAGGGAGTAAAAGACCCTTTCAATGGCCACACAGATTGTCTCCTCCCCAAAAAGACAGGTCCATGCAGGGCTCGTAAACCCAGCTTTTATTACAATACTGAGTCCGGTGAATGTGAGTCTTTCATCTACGGTGGTTGCCAGGGTAACGCTAACAGGTTCCCAACACAGGAGCAATGTTCCGAAAAATGCATTCCCAAACCGTTCAATGGCCACTCAGATTGTCTCCTACCAAAAACGACAGGTCCATGCAGGGCTTACGTCCCTAGTTTTTATTACAATTCCGAGTCTAGTGAATGCGAGTCTTTCATCTACGGTGGTTGCCAGGGTAACGCTAACAGGTTCCCAACACAGGAACAATGTACCGAAAAATGCATTCCCGAACCGTTCAATGGCCACTCAGATTGTCTCCTGCCAAAAAAGACAGGTCCATGCAAGGCTTACTTTCCTAGTTTTTATTACAATTCCCAGTCCGGTGAATGCGAGTCTTTCATCTACGGTGGTTGCCAGGGCAACGCTAACAGGTTCCCAACACAGGAGCAATGTACCGAAAAATGCATTCCCGAACCGTTCAATGGCCACTCAGATTGTCTCCTGCCAAAAAAGACAGGTCCATGCGAGGCTTATTTTCCTAGTTTTTATTACAATTCCGAGTCCGGTGAATGCGAGTCTTTCATCTACGGTGGTTGCCAGGGTAACGCTAACAGGTTCCCAACACAGGAGCAATGTACTGAAAAATGCATTCCCAAACCGTTCAATGGCCACTCAGATTGTCTCCTCCCCAAAAAGACAGGTCCATGCAGGGCTCGTAAACCCAGGTTTTATTACAATTCCGAGTCCGGTGAATGCGAGTCTTTCATCTACGGTGGTTGCCAGGGTAACGATAACAATTTCTTGACACACGAGAAGTGTACTGAAAAATGTATTCCATAAAAAAGACGAGCAAAGCGAGGCTAGACATGTGGTATGCGGTTACTTCAAATTTTAACCATTAAATTGGGCAATTAATCGAGCAGATTGTAAAATTTTCGACTAGGTGGAATCAGGTGCTCGTCAATTTTTGGGCATATGGAGTTATTGGTATCGTCTTAAAGCTTGTTCATTTGTCTTGTTTTTATTGAAAAACATACGTACCCATCTTTCTTGAATGGAAGTTGCGATATTTTGAATTGAAGGAGATTGGGGTCACCTGGTTTCAGCGGTAAAACAAGCAAGAAAATGCCGCCAAAGTTGCGTGGTTTCCGTAGCTAAAGGGTCCTTGGAAACTGAAAATTTGCATTTATAAAGAAATCAAGCAGAAATATGTTTTTAATTGGACTTAAAAGGGGTTGAGCCAGAAAAGAAAATTCCTTAACATTCACCAAACGCCCAGAAAATACTAGTTTCTTTGATTTCTCTATTTTGACGAACGCATGCTTTCACCAAGATGCCTCACCTATTATTACCCAGTAGAGATAATAATATGTGCAAGATGCTTGACGCTAAACTCTCACGTTTTTTGTTTTTGTTTTTTTTCTTTTTACATCAGGTATTTTCACTTAAAGTAAGTTTTACTGAACTGGTAGCATCACTTTTATACTGCTTCCAGGATACTTCGAGGAAGATAGGGGAAATGGACTGAAAATGTTGAAACTCTAATCGGACTGAGTGGATTAAACAATAAAGTCACGTAAATTCATGGGAAGCATAGAAAAAAATAGGAAAAAAACCAACAAGAAACTCATTAAGTGTCCTGAGGGAATTTCTTTTTTACTCCCGAGAGTTGTCAGATGTCTTAATAAATAAAGAAGATCACTAGCACAGCACGAAAGAGAGAGAAAAAATCTGTAATAATGGGCAGTTACTGTATAGGTCGTGTTTTACGATGGAAACATTTGGCTATAGAAAAACATTTTCTGTTTATCATTTTCCTTTAGTCTCAATAAAACACAATGTTTGGTTCTACTGCACTTTTATTTTTCTTATTTGTTAGTGGTACATGTGTACATACCTCCTACGTGCGCTGATGGTGAGCACTCGTGGTGTTCTACTTCTCTTTCTCTCTCTCTCTCTCTCTCTCTCTCTCTCTCTTTCGTTCTTTCTTTCTTCCTCTTTGTCTGTATGTTTATCTCACTCTATCCCTCTCTATCTCTAGCTATTTCTCTCTCTCTCTCTCTCTCTC